TTCTCTTCTTAGTTGATGAATCTAGAGTCCTCCATGCCCCCATCTCTACCTCCATCTCTGGTGCTGCTGCTTCTCTGGATAAGGTCCCACATAAAAAAGACTATTTTTTGGAGGAGGGAAGGAGGTTATTGAGGAATTTTCTCAAGTTTTTATTACCAGTCCCCCCACCCCGCCCCACCCCGTAGTACCATTTCCTCTCTACTTCATTCAGAATAGGAGCAATATTTCTTTCTACTTTTTCCCTAAAAAATCAGCAGAATATCTGATTCTGCAGACATTTCAGCTAAAAGCCCCACAGTATTTAATTAGAATGTTCTGAGTAGGATTTCTGAGGCCGAGGTTATAGGCAAGGATTAATTCTAAGGTAGTATTGATGAGCAAATCAGACCAAAGGGGAAGGGTCTTTGAGGGTCTATATGTGTAATCATAGGCCCCAACATTTATGTTAATTGAAAGTGCTTATCTCAATGTCTTGCTTTTGTTTGGTCTAATTATTAGAATTATTAATATTGCAAATGGGTGAGCACCCCCTTGGATTCTGACAGCCTAGTTCAAAATCATGCTCCAGTACTTACCATGTTACTTAATCTCTGAGCCTTGGTTTCTCTCCCAGGTTATTGTGGGGATTCAATGAGTGGGAATAAGTTGCGTAGCAGAATGCCTGGCACATGGTGGACTTTAAATAAACATTTAGATACACTCTTTAATTGCCTTTATGGTCAATGGGTTAAGTGTGGCAAACCTGGAAAAGATTATAAGAAAACTTGCAAGTTAAAGTAGTACCTGCCACATGATTGCATACTTCATTCTGAACTACTTAGTTTTACTGGATAATGGTCAGATTTAAATGAGTGGCCTTTATAACATAAATGGCATATAGTTGCTGTTTCTAATGAGTGAAAAGTGATTTCAGGTGTTTTACATTTTAGGGTGCCTATGGGGGAGGGTTGTTGTTAAGTGACATCGTAGTGACCCCCATATAGAGTTTCTGAGAGTGCCTGGTGAGTTTGAACTGCTGACCTTCTGGTTAGCAGTCCAGTACTTATCCTATAGCACCATACCAGGGGATGGATGCTGGTGATGGTTGTGTGCCTCTGAGTCATTTCTGACTAATAGCAACACTGTATTAGGTTTGGTGGTTGTGGTTATGTGCCGTGGAGTTGATTCTGACTCATAGCGACCCTGTACAGGGTTTCTGAGTCTGTAAATCTTTACGGGAGCAGAAAGCCTCATCTTTCTCCCGCAGAATAGCTGGTAGTTTTGAACTGCTGACCTTGCGGTTTGCAGCTCAACTCGTATCCACTACGCTACCAGAGCTCTTTTATGAGGCTGTAAATCTTTTACGGGAACAGAAAGCCTCATCTCTCTCCCTTGGAGCAACTGGTAGATTTGAACTATGGACCTTGTGGTTAGCAGCTCATAATCACTATGCTACCAGGGCTCCTTAGGCTGTGGGTAGTGTTCTTTTAAGAAACAGAATGTTAGAGATCAAGGAGCCCAGGGATTTCCAATCTGCTGGAGCTGCAAAATGACCCAATGGACACAATAGAATGATGATGGCATGCCTAGAAGGGTTTTTTTTTTGTTGTTGTTGTTGTTGTTAAATGGCTGGATTTTTGATATTTTAAACATCTAAACTATCTCCATTGTTGTTGTTGTTGTTGTGTGCCGTGGAGTCAGTTCCGACTCATAGCGACCCTGTGCAGGGTTTCCTAGGCTGTAAATCTTTACGGGATTAGAATGCCTCATCTTTCTCCTGTGGAGCGGCTGGTAGTTTCGAACTGCTGACCTTGCGGCTTGCAGCCCGATTCGTCTCCATTAGATAAAATAAAAAGGATAACTTTTGGGCCATGTGCTTATCTTCCTTTTTTTGCCTGGTTATTTAATATTCATTATTTTGCTTCAATGAATATCTGTGTAATGTATTTCACAGATTTCTATGGGCCAGATGTTACAAGACTTTGGAAAATTTCTTGGGATGTTCCTTCTTGTTTTGTTTTCTTTCACAATTGGACTGACACAACTATATGATAAAGGCTATACACCAAAAGAGCAGAAGGACTGTGTGGGCATCTTCTGTGAGCAGCAAAGCAACGACACATTTCACTCGTGAGTGTCTTTTTATACTTTTTAATAAATACAGTTCTCTCTTTCTGTCATGTTACATATGGATTAATACCCACAGAAATGGACTTTCAAATTTTATTGGAGATCCTTCCTTAATACTTGCATGCCTTAATAACTACTTTCTTTTTCATTAGTTATTTAATAGTCATCATTATATATAGAACCTTATATAAGTAGTAGGTCTATGACTTACATTGTCTTCCCTCCTCCAATTTATTTAAATGGGGAAACTCTTGGCATTTCTGTACTCTCAACATTTTGGACAGGGCAGTTCTTCTTCAGTCTAATACGAGGGGGCTTCAGAATTTTGTGAAAAAAATGGAATTAAAGAATAGAGGAACTTTTTGCTGAAACTCCCTTATGTATTGTAAGATGTTCAGCATCTCTGTCCTCAAGTATTAAATGTCATTGATAACTCACAGTCAATGTTAGGTTCTTTTGTGAATTATGGAGTCCTGGTGTGGTCTTTTAGGATAAACACTAGCTGATTACCACAAGATTGGTGGTTCAAACCCACCAGTTGCTCCTCAGAAACCCTATACAGTGTTACAATGAGTCAGAACCCACTTGGTGGCACTTAACAACAACAACAACAACAGTTGTGTGTTGTTTAACATAGGCATTAATTTATACTCAATAAATATTTATTTAACGCTATTACTTAGAGTCACCATGAGTTGGAATTGACCTTGAAACAGTGGGTTTGGTTTTTGGTTTTATCACATGCTGAAATTGTTCTAAGTGCTGGAAGAATCAGTGACTAAAACTAGGCAATAAATACATAAACTATAGAGCATGTGACATAATGATAAGGGCTAAGGTGACAAAGTTTGAACAAGGGAATATAGTGCCAACAGGGTCTTACCCATGGTGGATGGCTTTCAGTGGTGCTTCCAGACTAAAACAGACTAGGAAGAAAGGCTTGGCTATCTACTTCCAAAAATCAGCCAATGAATATTGTCAAATCACAATAGTATATTGTCTGATATTGTACTAGAAGATGAGCCTCCTTCCTAAGTTGGAAGGCAGCCATGGAGTCAGGCATGTTGGTGATCAACAGCATGGTGTTGTAGAGGACAGGATTTGGTCTTTTGTAGATGAGGTTACCATGAATTGGAGCTGACTTGACAATAAACAGCAACAACAAAACTGAAAGCAAACACATGGTTGTTGAGTTGATTCTGACTCTTCCATGACTCTAAGACAGAATAGAACTGCCCAAGGCTGTGAATCCTTACAGAAGCAGACTGCAACATCTTTCTCCCATGGAGTAACTGGTGGGTTGGAACTGCTGACCTTTCAGTTAGCAGTTGAGCACTTAACCACCAGGGCTCCTCTCACAACAACAGAAAGTGTGAGTGTGAGTGTGAGTGTGTGTGTGTGTGTGTGTGTGTGTGTGTATAAGAAGGTACAGTTTTAAGATAAGAGCCTGGGAAGGCCTCCTAAGGCATGTGAAGGAGCGAGCTATGAAGGTGTCTGCAGGAAGAGCATTTACAGAAAGAAGGAAAAAGACCTGAGCTGGGAACAATGACTGGTGTGTTCATGGAAAGCCAGGAGGCCCGTGTGGCTGGAAAAGAATGAATAAAAAAAGTTGTAGGAGATGAGGTCAGAGAGGTAATGTAGAGGGGCTATGTATGTAGTTCCTTATCAGTCTTTATAAAAACTTTTGGCTATTGAGATTGAGAGCCATTTAAAGTGTTTGAGCAATCTAGTTTTGTATTTTTTAACAGTTTATCATACATAGTTTATTGACACAATGTATACAATATATTGTCTTTGTTTTTAAGTGCTGTGGAGTCGATTCCAACTCATAGCGACCCTGTATAGGTTTCTGAGGCTGGAAATCTTTGTGGGAGCAGAAAGCCTCGTCTTTTTCTTGTATCATTATATCACTGGTGGGCTGCACCACTGACCTTGTGGTTCACCGTCCAGTTCTTATACTAGAAAAGTTTATATTTTCAAATGAAAAATAATGTCCACAAAATTGGAGGTCAGTTGGACCAACTGATTGTGTAATTGATAAATGGAGTGACAGATTTATTTATATGCTTTCTGTTTGACCTTTCTGAGTATACAACATTAGCACTGGTTGATCTAGGCATCTATCCACTGTGGGTGGGATTAGAGAGAGTGTTCTAGAAAGAATTTAACTCCTGGATTCAAATTTGCTCAAAACCTTAGTCTAGCCAGGAATTTTACTATCTAGGCAAAGAGTTTCCTAAATGTCTTTGTTGTTCTACTTTATTTTATTTTAACTTTTTATTGTGAATTGAGTGAAGGTTTCCAGAAAAGATCATCAGGTTTACATTCAACAAATGACATACTTTGTTTCATCTCAATGATTACAATCACCTCCCTGCAACAACTTCCTCCTTATGGCTTCCCATGTACTTACTATATTTCACTAATGAACAAAGCAAAAATATTTTTTGTACACATACAAAACAAAAAATACATATTCATTTAAATGTCCAAAGGGCACATTTTGCAAGCCAGCCTTCTGCCTGTGGGCAGTCCATTGACCTAGAGCCCGCAGCTGTTCTCTCTCTCCATGCCATTGCCTCTCCACCACCTTTCTAAGTAGGGATCTCACACTCCACTCATACTCTACCTTTTTGATGGTCCTGGGTTCATCTGTTCCTGAAATGAAAGACTAACAGTTGTTGTTGTTAAGTGCCATGGAGTCAGTCTCGACTCATAGCGACCCTGTACAGGGTTTCCGAGGCTGTAAATCTTTACGGGAGCAGAACGCCTCATCTTTCTCCTGCGGAATAGCTGGTAGTTTCGAACTGCTGACCTTGAGGTTTGCAGCCCAATTCGTAACCATTATGCTACCAGAGCTCCTTACTACTACTCCTTTTTCATTATACATCTTCCATATTTACATTTTTCACAATCACAGTGAATCCTGCTAACAGTTCCTCACAATTGAATCTTAAAATTCTTTCTCTATCATCCTCCACCCCTTTCACCAAATCCACCTGGAAAAGAGGAAAACTATTCAGTGTAGATTCTACCTTAGCCCCTTCATTCCAAAACTCAGCACACTCATGAAAGCCTGTAATACAGACACTTCATGCCTTTAATGCAACCACGCATTTTTCATAGCCAATGTCTAAATTGCCTGTCCTTATCAACACAGTAAACTGAGGAAACAAGCTTATTTCTTGATATGAAGAATCCTTCTATTCCGTTGGGATTTTGAGTAACTGCGTTCATAAGCAAAGATCTGGTTCATCAAATTGTAGCAATTTACACTGGCTCACAGTCTTAAACATCTTTATCTTCAGCTGGTCAAGTTCTGTTCAGCTAGCTATCCAAGTTAGGTCATATGGGTACTAGTTTCAAATTTTCAAGTTCACTCACACCTGCCAACACTTCAGACCAGCTGGTCACTTCACTCTCGGCCCTAGCTCCCAGGGGCTAGGTCAGTGCCCATGGGCTCAGGAGGTCACACATCTTCCTAACCTTCAGACCAGCCAGGCCTTCCTCTTCTTATCTCATCTCATCATCTTATCTTAGGTGTCAGTGAAACATGGTCAAACTTGGCCCAAGTCTTCATTGTTGCATTTCCCTCACTTGCACTCACAAGTAGACCAAGGTGGCCACTAGTGAGCTTACTTCACTGCTCATGGGTTCCCTTTAAGTTTCAGTCTTAGAAGGGAGTTTTCCATTGCTTGCCTGACTCTTCTTGCCTTGATGCCTCAAAAGCAGACAACTTGCTTGAAATTAAAAAAGCCAAACAGTCTGCTTTTTTCTGCAGTTCTTTCTTTCAGTAAGAATCTTCTGTTCTCCCAACAGTTCTAGGTTGATCTGCATGTGTTTTCACATGGGACTGTCCCAACTCAGAAGTTTCTAGATGGAACTCAGGTTTCCACCTAAGGCCCCATACTCTATAAAAGCTTAACAAGAAGCCTATTTCACTGGACAAATTCTAACTCTCCCTTTAGAAAATCCTATCAGTTATAGAGGCTGAAGGTGGGCTTATAAGCTTTCTGTAATCATAAGTCCCAATACTCATTTCTATCACACATAAATATCTATTTTACAACAGTAGACAGGGAAAACCAATATCCACAAGCCAGTCAAACACATAAACATTTTTACTCCTCTTTTACCACATTCAGCTTGTGTCTTACTTTATGTATCTACTGACAAAACACTGTTGTTCCAAGGTTGTATGCAACTCACTGCATACTTCCTTAAGTCTTCCCCTATCTTCATTGTTCATCTGTCACTATCTACCTCTTCTTGTGTATTGCTCTCCCCACCTTGTATATTTCCTTTCCCATCACCAGAGCTAACATGTGTCTACCCTCTACCTAGTGAATTACTCTCCCCTCCCTTACACCCTTGGTAACCATCAAAGAATGTTTCTTTTAGCATGGAAACCTTTTCTTAAGCTTTTACAATAATGGTCTAATACAGTATTTGTCCTTTTGTGATTTACTAATTTCACTAAGCACGGTGTCCTCCAGGTTCATCCATGTTATGAGGTGTTTTGCATATTCATCGTTATTCTTCAAGGTTGCATAGTATTCCATTGTGTGTTTGTGCCAAAGTTTGTTTATTCATTCTATTATTGATGGACACTTAGTCTGTTTCCATCTTTTTGCTATTGTGAATAGAGCTGTGTTGAACATAGGTGTGCATATATCTACTTGTTTCCTTGCTCGTATTTCTTGTGGCTTTGTACCAAGTAGAAGGTTTGCTAGGTCATAAGGTATTTCTATTTCCAACTTTCTGAGGAAGTGCCATACCATTTTCTAGATGGGTTGAATCTTGTTTGGTTTTAATAAGATCATATACAGGATAGTTACTATGTTAAGAATAAACAGAAAGGCGGCAAGGAGTTAAATAGAAATAGCGTAGCTTTGTTTTTACATCTCTTTCTTTGTTTAAAGTAAGGCATAACTGTCTTGTAGGAATTAACCTCATTTATTTTATGAGGTGCTATTCTTGGATCATCAATGTCTAAAAAAAATAATTTTGATCTAAATAATCACTGTGGATTGGTTTTCTTGACATAAATGTAATCATCTTTACAGGTTCATTGGCACCTGCTTTGCTTTGTTCTGGTATATTTTTTCCCTAGCGCATGTGGCAATCTTTGTTACAAGGTTTAGCTATGGAGAAGAACTGCAGTCGTTTGTTGGAGCTGTCATTGTTGGTACCTACAATGTCGTGGTTGTGATCGTGCTGACGAAGCTGCTGGTGGCAATGCTTCATAAAAGCTTTCAGTTGATAGCAGTAAGTTCTAACAAATTTACTTTTTTTTTTCAGATCTTACCAATTGTACGTAATATGTAAAATAGCAAATGACAGCAAGAATTAGATAGTATCATTTAAAAATTAAATACAGATTTTTGAAATATAAGTTGTTGTTGTCAAGTGCTGTTCAGTCTGTTTTGACTCATTGCCACCCTCTATAGGGCTTCCAAGGAGTGGCTGGTGAGCTTGAACTGCTGACCTTATGGTTCAAACCAACCTTGCAGTCTAGCACATTAAAACACAGTGCCACACCAGGACTCTTGAAATGCAAGTAATTAGTTATAAATTTTTTAATTTAATTTTTAGACAGTTTAAAATGGTCTTTCTCTCTATATATATACTCTCACACACACACTCTTATATACCCATATGCATACATATGACACAGCTTCAAAAAGTTTGTGGAAAAATTCTCATTGTCTTTTAATTCCATTTTCTCACAAACTTTTTGAAGCCCCATCATTATGTATGTATGCATATTCTATATTGCTTTTTTCCTGTGCCTCTTATAGAATCATGAAGACAAAGAATGGAAGTTTGCTCGAGCAAAGTTGTGGCTTAGCTACTTTGATGACAAATGTACATTACCCCCGCCTTTCAACATCATCCCTTCACCGAAGACTATCTGCTATATGATTAGTAGCCTCAGTAAGTGGATATGCTCTCATACATCAAAAGGCAGGGTCAAACGGCAAAACAGTTTGAAGGTAAGAAACTGGGAGTTTAGATTGCAACATCCACTTTTAAAAATGCTTAATCTCAGAAATTGCCTAAACTATCAATATGCAAACTCCTTAAGGGCAATAACTGTCTGATGATTTGTTCCACTACTTTGTCCATAATACATGGCATAATATTTGACATAAAGTCACAATTCAATACATATTTATTGAGAGAGAGATGTGATTTTTAAGGTTTCAGAGTTTTCTATCACACGAAATCTCTTCTCACAGTTTTAAAATATAGGAAGTATTCAGAATACCTATTCTGTCAGCGTAGGTAAAGAATGACCACTGACATCACCTTATATTTTTCTGGTTCTTCTTAAAAGGTAACTTTATTGCTATTATAAAGGAGTTGGCAAGCTTTTTTAAATAAAAGGACCAGGTTACTAATTTTACTGTTTAGTGTGTGACTATATATATACAGGAACCCTGGATGTATAGTTGTTCAAAGCAATTGGCTGCTAACCAAAAAGTTACCAGTTGCTTCTTGGGGGAAAGATGTGGCTGCTTCCCTAAAGCTTAACAGTCTTGACAATAGTCCTGTGAGGCAGTTATATACTCTGCCATAGAGGGTCACTATGAGTTGGAATTGACTTCATAGATGGCAGTGGGTTGTTTCCTTTTCCAAAAGTTTGTGGAAAAATTGAATTAAAAGATAATGGAATGAAGGCCCCTTGTATGTTGTTGTTAGGTGATATCGTGTCGGTTCAGACACATAGCGACCCCATGCACAACAGAATGACACCCTGCCCGGTTCTGCACCATCCTTACAATTTTTATTACGTTTAAAAACATTGCTGCTGCCACTGTGCCAATCCATCTTGTTGGAGGTCATCTTCTTTTTCGCTGACCCTCTCCCAAGTATAACGCCCTTCTCCAAGGACTAGTCCTTCCTGATAACATGTCTGAGGTATGAGAAACAAAGTGTTCCCACCCTAGCTTTTTTTTTTTTTT